ATCCATAAGTCGTGGTCGTGGCTGACTACAACAGAATCGGTGTTTGAGCTGACATTTGATGGCCATATCATTTGTTTAGCTCAAAACGCCAACAGACCCAAAACAGCTGTCCAACCTGCTCACTCAAGGAACACGAAATGTTGAACACATTCCGCCGACCCTTCTGTGAAGGAATGGGATTGGCGAAGGCAAAGTAATTGAAACAGCTATATTTATCTTTTGTGTGTCCACATACACACACGGGTCCTTTTTCTGAAATTCCAAAATGAACTATGTTTTATCACAAAATATATATAATTGAAAGCTATTACACTTAATTCCCAAAACAAACTATATTTTACACAAAATATAGTTTATTGACAAATTTTATAGTTCAGATCCAAAATGAACTGTATTTTGTTCACAAAATATAAATCATTGAAAAATATTATAGTTCAGATCCAAAATGAACTATAATTTATAACATACTTTTCCTTCAGTGAAATCATTGATTTTTCAAGCAAATCACCAACAAACACTGGATTAGATGAAGGGTCTTCCTGTATGTCCCTTCATCTAGTTCAATGTATTTTGCATTTTATCATCCAAAATGAGTGATTTCACTGAAGGAAAAATATGTTTATAAATTATAGTTCATTTTGGATTTGAACTATAATATTTTTCAATGATTTATAATTTGTGAAACAAAATATAGTTCATTTTGGATCTGAACTATAATATGGTCTCACTGATTTATATTTTGTGAAAACAATATAGTTCATTGTGTAAATGAACTATAATAGTTTTCAATGATTTCTATTTTGTAAAAAATAGTTTATTTTGGAATTAACCGGGATCATTTTGGAAATGAACTATAATATGTTTCAATGATTTATATATTTTTTTTTGTGAAAATATAGTTCATTTTGGAATTGAACCTTTTCAATGATTTGTATTTTATGAAAAATATAGTTCATTTTGAAAATGAACTATTTTCAATGATTTATATGTTGTAAATAAATTTAGTTCATTTTGGAATTGAACTATATGTTTTTTCAGAAAATAAACCTCTATATATACGTATCATTAATTAAACAAATTAAGTCTTTTTTCATTGCCCCTAGACAAAGGCTAGCTGGGTTGGCGGGATGGTGGCGGAGAAAGCCTATGTCGTTGGAGTGCTTCGGGCCTTCATGGTGTAAGACACACCTGCTGCATGTTCTTCAGCACAAATTTTGATGAACCAGCCCTTTGTGTGGGGCTTAGATGTTGGGACACCAGGTTAATAACCATAAAGCCTAGGAAGAACCTTTAGGAACATTTTGTTTCATATAGATTGTTCTGTGACCCTTTTTATTGAAATATACTCTGAACATGTCTGAACTATGCTTCCTCATTTCCCCTGAGACCTTCATGTGGAACCTTACACTTGACACATCATAAAGACTGTATTTCGCTTCTGATCTGAACAATATGTGTAAGTAGAACGTCCTCCAGCACCCTGCCTCTCGCACAAGAAATCATTCAGGTCTGATTTGATCTTGTCTATATTTTGCAGCTTTTGTTTTGTCGCCCCTCAAGGCGCTGACTTAAAAGGGCTTAGTTTAAATCCACACTGTTTGAACAAGTGCCCCCAGTTTGGTGAACCATATAAAGCTGAGATTTTCCTTTGCACAAGGATGGCACAGGCACAAATCAAGAAGTGTACACAAAAACAGAGATAACACAGGGATGACACAAGGATGACACAGGCACAAATCAAGAAGTGTACACAAAAACAGAGATAACACAGGCACAAATCAAGAAGTGTACAAAGGAAATTGGAATTTTCCTGATCACTAGCTACTAGCTACTTCGGTGTTCTTTGTTCAGTTCCTTCTTGTTTGGTTCAAAACTTCTTCATGTATATACTGTTCCAATAAACTATTCAATTTTTATTGTTCACTTGTGACTTCACTAATGTAGCACCTTCCAGTCATCCCAAGGGGCGGCGTCAGCGCTGTAAACGCTTACGGACAAATGGCACAATGAAACAGCAGCAACAACCACAGCTGTTCTACCCAGCGTAACAGGTATAGGCACTACTGTTTGCAACGTTGATCCATTCGATATTGAAGCTGATGCAGCAAGCAGCAAAACACTCGGTGATGCCGGAAATCACAGCAACTGGATTTCACAACAGGACATGTTGCCCTGTTGAGTGCTATCTACTGTCCACGCTCCATCCCCTGAGACAATCTAGAAATCTCAGAGTCTAATTCTTCCACTGTGCCAAGCTCTGCATCTGTGCAAGGAGGATCCTGCGAATGACTCATGAATTTTAGAGAAGAACGTGGCTATCAAAAATGACCCAATCAATGCTGCCAAGCAAAGTGTAATTACATTCAGTAGGCTAATTGCGCTTAGTAGGGCCACAAACAGTTCAAGCATCCGCTGTACAAACAAGAATCTCTATACTATTGTCCTTCTTCATGTGTCTTTTCCGGAGTTCCTGGTCCGTTTCGCCTTCCGCACGAGTCATTTTCAAGCCTGAACAGAAGACTCACAATCTTTGGCTAGTTCTGGGCATGCGAGCGCTTTGGACAAACTAGCCATCAACAAACGCAATATAACTACCAGCAACAAAAGAATTGCTTCGGCTGATGCAGTGGTGTTTGCGCGTCTCCCACATGCCAAGACCCCTGAAGCGAAACTTCACAAAGCTGACACCTGCCTTCCAAACACCACCATCTCATTCGCTTAGCGACGATCGATGGATTTGGCTGATTGGTTTGCATCGAACGCGTGCAGCGCGGCAATCCGGAGAAGTTGTGGAGTGGGCACGTCACATAATATGATTCAACCTTGATCACATGATTGAAAAAGTCATGCTGGAATTTAAATGCATGTACTGTGCTGGTACTTCATGCTTGTGTCGGTACTTCATCTACTATCATACGGATACGCTACATCAAGAACATGTTCAGCAAAATAACTTTCACCCAATTGGAAGCTGAGAAGCAGGATGATGTCTCATGATGATCGAGAAGGGGCCAGCAAAAATTGTGGTCGGGTCGAATATAGTAGAAGACCGGCGGGGTTCGGCCAGTGGTTCCAGGCGTTCTGAACGTGTCTGTGGTTGTGTTCGCTTTACCCTCTCAATGGCAGGTTCACCTTGGCGAACTTGCGACGGCACTATTGCGTGCAAAGCGCTTTCGGCAGGGAGTGTAGAATCCGCTGCCGCTGACTGAACTAGTTCAGGCACCAACACTGACCCTTCAGGAATGGCATCAGCAACTTCATGTGTAGTTGATTGAACTGAAACTGGATCCATGACGGGCGCTTCATCAGGAACTTTCATGAAACCACCGGAAGAGCTTGCAGAAATTGAACTTGGCATGACTGCTTGATCTGCATTTTGCAAATCATCTCCTGTAGCAGCGTGAGTTGGCATGACTGCTTGATCTGCATTTTGCAAATCATCTCCTGCAGCAGCGTGAGTTACGCTTGAAGTAGACTCTGGTGCCGGCACTGGCCCTTCTGAATGTGGAGCAGTGTCAGTAGCATGTGGGCGGACGGTGGCCATGGAATCTGCTAAATCACCTGCTCTTGAAGTCGACCCAATATTTGCACCAGCTTGCGTGTCAGAATCCGACACTGACACTTGTTGAATTTCACGGTCCACATCCAGAACTGCAAGAGGACGTGTCGTTGGCGCAGCCAGGGCTTTCCGTCGTTTTTTCTGACGCGGTGGTTGCGAAGGGCCTGGATCAACGAATGGTTGCTGACCAGAATCTTGATGCACGCGCAGCTGCATTCCTGCCAAAATGTTGTTTGACTTGCGAACACATTCTTAAAACAATGCTGTAGCACAAGTTTATTGAGTTTTTATACAGAGTGTAAATGTATAAATGCCGTTTGCCAGAACTGGTTGAACATGGTTGAACAGTTCAACTATAGTTGCGTTCAAGACATATGGCTTTCTGTTTTGATTTGTTTTGACCAGACATGGACAAGAGTGCAACTGGCCGGGGCTAATTCACAAAATGGTGTATGCAGGACGCAGGCCTGGTTCATCTTCAAAATCAACCGCTGAACGCCGTAAAGGTTTGTCCACCAAACGTTTTCGACCTTTTCTGAGACCTGCTTGGCTTGCTTGGCGTGAATCGCTAGCAATGCTCTTGTAGAAGCTAGCAGGCTGATGTGGGACTATTCGGGACAACAAGCTTCGTTGTCCAGCAGCAGCACAGGCAAGAATGGCATCATAGTAAGCCACAGGCTGCATGTGAAAGATTTTTGGCAAATGCTCTCCCAGCAGTTCCTCGTGCCTCAACAGGACTATGAAATATGATCTTCCCATTGCCCCACCAGTGATGTAGAAGTTTTTCTCTGCATTCATCCGGAATGGTTGGCATTTGGTCTTCGTCTCCGCATCCACAAGAACCCACCCCTTCTGCAAGAGCAAAAGAAACATTTCAAAGGTTGACAAATCACTGATGGCACCAACCTCACGAATCCATGATGTGATTGGGCCGAGTCTAGAGCATTTGTGGCCCACTTTGATCAAAGCAGCACCATTGTTGGTCAAGTGGTATTTGCCTTGCACTGCTTGCAAAATAAGATCCTTCTCAAGTAGGTATTGAAGACCTTCCATGGAAGGCGGACATTCGAAAAGGGAACCATGATTCGGAAACGCTCCTGAAGCAGCCATTGAAAGAAGCAACTGTCTTGACGCATCTGGCCTGAGTGTGAGCGTTTCTCTTCAAAGGTCTCACAGAAATAGATGGCACAGCCATCAATGCCATCAACACTGGAAAAATTACATGAAAAACACATTTCACAAGGCAGCAGAAAAGCTTTAAGCAATAGGCAGGGGTTGCTACTGTACTTTTAATTTGGACAAAGTGCATTCTGGCCATCAAAGACCGTGGACCAAGGACAATGTTGACCGAACGTTCGCTTTGCCAAACAGACATAGATTGCTGATAATTCTCGAATGACCGGTCAAGCATGCGAAAGCACATGGGCAGACCGTAAGAGACCAAGGTGATGTCTGTGGCATGGTCGTCTACTTCACTTCCAGCGGTTGGAATGTAGGGTTGGACCATCACGTCATATGACTCCATTTGAGTCCCCAGCAACTTGTAGCTGTTCATGTTCTCGGAGACAACGGTGAAAAAAATGAATTCACTGTCCAACAACAGGCTGGCAGAGTCTGTCGCTGAGCCTGCTTGGACAACAGATGGGAAATTAGAAGCGCACGCTCCGGCCATGAATGAGAAGGCACTGCCACCACCCAATTCATCAGGCCGATTGGTGATCCTTCTCTCAAAAGGAACAACACTGGAAACGCCAATGTCCATTGGTGACACTGAAGGTTCATCTTGCACTGATGTCAAAAACTCTTGGATACCAAGTTCACGGCTGCCATCAGGATCATCAGGAGCAGGAGCACCCAGCTGCTTCCGACTGGGCGGTGGTTGCGCAAAGGATGACTGAAGCATGGACAACATGTCTCCAAGCCAGCTCTTCTTTCCTCCAAAAAGAATTTTCTTGCCGTTCACTGGGGTTGCTGAAGCACGCCGGAGATGATCAATCAGAGCTTTGCTCAATGGCGATAGATCATGAGCAGGCTGAACAATAGAAACCGGAGCTGGAACTAGCTCAGATTTATCAGAGATTTCCAATTCCAGGCGCTTGCTCTGGGAGTGCTTAATCCGGGCATTGTCACGATAAATAAGGTCAGCAGTTTGCCTCTCATTCAACGATGCCAAATACTGAGATGGCTGCAGGCCCAACATCTTCCTAAGTTTCAACTGAAAACAAACATTTCCTGTTGGTGCCACAAGAAACTCACCAATTTCATCAAACACCAAAATGTCTAAATTTGCTACATAGCCTCCAAACCAGTGACTTGAACCCTTCGCTGGTCTCAATCTTCGCTAGGCAATCCTCTAGCTTCTTCAAGACCTTGGATGGTGCAGACATGATGAGAACCTTAACGCGTGTCCACTCCAAACGTTAACCAATCCACACATAGGGCAAGAACGCACTGCATTGAACATGCAACTTAGAGACCGCTGGATGTCTCATAGAGAAATCAACCAGATGGTTAAAGCGAAGCTCCATGGATAAAAATGATAGTTTTGCAGATGGAGCTTTCCGAACAACCCTCGCCAGTCGCGAGTGCAAGCCTTCAGTCGATTGTTCAACTACGCGCACCTTAATGATGTGGCACCAAGAACGACAATACCATACGGACAATTTGTAGACCTTGTAACAATAAATAAGAACCAACATTGCATTTAAGAGGTATGCAGCATAAATACAGTAACAGTACAACCTTAAACAAATATTGTAGAAACGCCAAGGAACCAAGCGAAAAGCCGAAAGCCACTGTTGAAAATCGACTGCATCGCTCATGTCTGCCAATCTCTCACCATTTGCGACCCGTTGCGCAAAGCTTCTCAATGGAGGATCTTCGATGGCACCAGCAACGCCCACAAACTCTGGGTCCAAGAAACGGCGGGTTTGCATGTGATCCAGAATGCCAGGGCCTCCGTCAGACCACATCCGAAGAACATTCCTTGCAGTGGATCGTTGCACCATTTCATCATCATGAGCCAAAGCGCCTTAGAAGGCTCATTAGGGAAAGGGAAGTGAACAGGGCGGCGACCTAGCCAATGTATCCAGTGAACCGTGAAACATGATGACATATGTATGTATATATTTTTCTTTGATCCTACAATCCCAAATCTTTGATAGCATTTTTTCTTTGCTTGCTGTTCCGATAAGCCCCCATTTGACTTCTGCTAAGAACAAGATTTCAATCTGAATTGTAAATGTAAATGTGGTTGGCTTGCAATTTTCAGGCTGAGTTGCACAGGGCCCACGGCAGCTGCCCCCAGAAGTTGAGCTTTGAAAGGAGCTGGCCTGAATCAACCAACATGGAAAACTGCATGACTACGCGCTCCACTCTCTGCAAAAAAAAGTTCCTGAGGAACCATTGCTCTAGGCCTCATTCCAAATTGTTTTCATTTTTGTGCAGCTGATGCCATGTTAGCGCCCATGCAGCAACACTAAACACGATAGTTGAGGCCTGGCCTGGGGCCTGGGGACATCGTGTTCTGCGGCCGTTATTTTGTGTGAAAACAACTCAATATCACTTGATATCAATTGTTTGAGACGCTCTTGTATATGCGAGTCGGCGTTCGTGTGCCCTCTTGGGTATTCACAAACAGTGATCTAACATGATCTAACAGTGATTCAGCCAAGTAGCCAAACAGCCGAGATCTTGCTGTCACCCAGTCAGAATGCAATTCATTCGCAGCAGCTGTGTCGCGACCCATGCGACAAAACTGAGCTGGCAAAGTGCTTTGCTGGCGCGCCATCAGTTTGAGCTGCTGGTGTAATCCAGTCCCAGCAGCCAACTCAGGAGCACGGCAGCCCTTATGTGGGCAAGACAAGTCGCTTTCAGGTTTTTGATTTCCTTTGTGCGAAAGTAGCGGCTCATGGCATGAACATCCACCTGCCCATCGCCCCACATACTCTGCTTCAAAAGCAAGCCCAGAAACCACTGAAGTTCTGGCCCAAAACACATCCGATTTGATTGCTGCATCAGCTTCTTGAAAGTCCGCACTTAAGGTCCATTTGCCATGCCCAGCTGCTCCACGTAAAAAAAGTTCCATGTTCCAGAAGCGACAGAGATGTTCTTCTATCTCTAGAAGGTTCACACTGAATTCTACTATCACTTCCCATCTTAACCCACCAAGCTTTGCAGCAAATGATTCTATGGCAGACCTTGCAGCAATTTCACTTTCCGGCACGCATACTGCTGCAAGCCTCTCACGATACTGCACCCGCGACAGTAGCTTCTCGAGCGCTTTCAGTTGCGTCAGCAAAGCGTCCCACATTGACATGCTGCTGAGGACAGATTCCAGAAGGTTGTCTGATATATGCTTTAGTCCCGGCACATGGAAAGCGTTTGGAAACAAAGACCTTTGCTGCTGTTGCTGAAACGGTTGAACCTGCTGCTCAATCGGTTGAACCTGCTGCTCAATCGGTTGAACCTGCTGCTCAATCGGTTGAACCTGCTGCTCACGGCGTTGGTTTGCCTGCTGGTGCGCATCGATCGCTTCCTCTGGGAGAGCAATCGTGGTAACAGCGCTAACATCATCAGCCAGGGACAAGCATTGAGTTTGCACTGGCTTGGATTGGAGTAGACTTGCCGTATCGGTGACCAGCTTTTCAGTTTGCAACTCTGGCAGAGTTCCAAAGCCAAATTCTGTGCCTTGGTCTGATGTAATTGATATTACCTGCCGGCAATACCGCTTGAATGTCTCAGATCTTTCTTTCTCATTTTGATTGTCGTTTGGCAACTCTAGCTGCAACACCCAAATCAGCGCCGATGCTTTCGATACAAGTGTAGTGAATCCTTGGGCCACAATGTGGTACACAGGCGTTGCCCAAGCTACAGTGTACAGTGTACAATAGACTAGGAGAGCATATTTCAATCCATGAACAACAATTAAACTTTAAGCGCTCCTCAATCGCCAACTTGCCTTCTTATTGAACTGACACATTGTTTGCAAAGAATGCTTTGCAACAAATATAATTATTCCTAGGAACCTTTACCCAAGGCTACCACTGGCAAAGATCGTTGCTCCAAGCGAAAACCACGGGACACACTGGATGAATCATCCAAGGTGTGCACAAAGTCTGCAAGTACATCGTCGCACCTTGCATTGGCCCAGTTCGTTAACCCATCTGCCGGATGTGTCCACAAGGCAACCAATGGATGACCCCTTTGATTGAAATATATAGATAGTAATAAAGCTGATAGTAGGCAGACAAATTGTGTAAACAAATGATTAAGTGCATCGTTTGATAGACAACACATATAGAAAAAAAAGAAAGATAGTAAAAAGAGTAAAGAGGGAGCTAGAGCTGATCACTAGAGATAGAAACATAACAAAATAGAGGTCAGAACTAAAAATAGAGCAGTAGGGAAATGGAAGATCAATAGTCATTAGTCTGTACATCAAAAGTTCGATCGATAATCGATACATCGATAATCTGACACATAAGTAGGCATGCTGGTGGATTGTAGGTGAATAGACCTGATCGCATTCTCATTTCGTGTTTGCCTTCCACTACAAGGCAAGGGTGCCTGGCTGAGAATTCCTCTGTCAGGAAGAGTTCTTTGCGTTGGTCTGAAGAATCTGCGCCTGAGAAAGGGCAAGATGTCGCTAAAGCCTTGCAATTTGGACCTTCTTACTTCTTACCTTCTTTCAAATCATCTCCAAAGGACTGACTGAACAATTTGCAACATCATTCGATTCAAGCTTAGAAACATAGGCTGACCCACCGGCTTTGCAAACCTTCTTCCAACCACTGCTGTCTTCGACACATCATCAAGAAGACGTCTAGTCTATACTTTGCCTTCGACATTGTTGCCCCTTGGGGACCCTGAAGAGCACTGAAGTCTCTGTCCAAATCTAAATCAGAGTCCCAATTCCCTGTGTGAATAGAACGCGTCGCTGCCATGACTTGTCTAAAATCTCCACTGGCAATAGCAGCTGCTGTCACCATTGCAGCCGTAAACTTCTTTGAGGACCGTAGCTGGTTACTCCTTGGCTTGTACATTCAGTCAGCAACCGCATTTGCGTACATTTCAAGAGCGGTCAGAATGTTCTATAGGCCAGTGAGTGACAGTGTTCTATTCATTTTTTGTTTTTGAAAAACACAAATCTTGGGCCAGCTTGGGACCATCAAGCCAATTAAATACAAGGTGTCACACAAGCGTGTAAGCCAAGATAACGTCAACTTTCAACCAAAACAAAGACACCGCTCGTGAGACAAAAACAACCCCAACGTTTGCAAGACCTGTGTGCCTGAAGCCTGAAGACCTCTTGCCAGCTTGGCGTGACTGTCTTTTTTCGGAAATGAACTGTTGAAGCGACAAACTTGCTACGCGACATGGAAAAATGTTTGCTATGCAACATGGAAAACAGTGTTAGTGTCACAGTGTTTGGTGTTTATACCAAACCGATGGCAGGGCACAGTGCGGTGAAAGAGATCAACTGTCGGATTGAATACACCGGACGGCCCATACCATGTTGCTGTCGGGGTCGCAACCGTTCACGCTGATCCGCTTCTTCTTCTTTGTCGGCCTGCGCCAGGCGCCAGCGCCCCTTGTCATACTTCACCGTCTCAAAAGTTTCATTTTCCTATTCCTACTTGCCATCTTCAACACATATACTACAAACGGGAGCAGTCTGAGTCAGAGTCTGAGGATTCTTTGTTTGTTGTTTTGTTGCGCCCACCCTTACGGCCCTTACCCTTACCAGAACGAATTTGTTTCCAGTGAAATTTCCTGCCTGAGCCAATTCCTGCAGCAACTTGAGTCCACGGTAGTACTTGCTTATCTGCCAGCAGGGTTTTGCATTGAGCTACATCAACACTGCAAGTCAAAGGGATCACCAAACTGTTGTGCCCAACTCAAGTGTTTTGGACAGTGCCTGCAGTTCACTCTGTGACGCTCTCACAAAAGCCCTGCCAACACATATTGGTTTTTCACCAGTACAGCAGTGGCATGCCAGCCTCTTCAAGAGTCCCATAGCACAGCGCCGGCCCTGCGCATTCTTCAAATGCTTGCTGGGCAATCGCCGCTCGCGCTGCTGCCCGCTCCATTGCCGATTGCCCTTGTTGAGGGGTGTTTTGATTTTTTAAATGACGTTCCGGTCACTGATCATGCAGGGTGTTTGTTGCTGCCATCACATGAAAGCCGATCACATCACACTGTTTTTTGGTTGCGATCACATGAAAACCATGTCCATTATGTCTATCTAAAAGTTGCAACCCCTGTAACATTTAACCTTGCTGCTGCCCCGACATCATCCTGGGCCCAGCTGCCCAAAACACCCGCAGGCAGGCAGCAGTCTGAGTTGTCTTGCCCTTAAAACGCACGC